TAAAATAATTTGGAGGACAGGCTGTTACCCAAGCAACAAATCGCCTCTTTCCATATCGCTGAAATAGTCCAATGGAAAGGCAAGAACCAATACAACTGGTTCCAGCGATGTCGCAGAAGTCGCCAGAATAACATGAACTGCCTCCGGGACTCTGGCTCCGGATTTTGCCCCAAGGTTAACTCCTGAAGCCTTTTCCATCAGTGGGTATAGCCACAAGGCAGTGGAGGTTTGAAATTGGAGTTTTCCTTCTCCTAGATGGGCTGCCTTCCAGGGCTGATGAGCCCAACCTACCCGGCCTGCTCCCTAATAGTGCGAATATTAGAACACAGGCGTTCAGCTGCTGGACCTTGTCTTCCAAGAGGACCACCACCTGACACTTTGAGCATTACTCACGTACCTCTTTGGCACGAAAACAGACATACCACAAGTTTTACAAATGCAACAGATCCTGTACTCTCCATCTTGACTGACTGGTCAGTGAATTAAAAAAGAGAGGAAGTCTGATCCTACCCCTTAAACTTTCCTGCACCCCAGGTGTATGCAATGCTATTTGGCTTTCTTATTTACCAGATTAGAGTAAAAAATAGAATCAGAGAATTTCATGCACAATTATTTGGTGAGGCGCACACTTCTGTCAGCCCACATTTAAAGCCAAAACCCTGCCCACTCTGACCATGTGGTCAGGGAGAACAAAGGTCAGCCTTTAAGAAAATACCTCACCAAATAAAATGTCCTCCTAAACACAGTTCACCTCCTGCCTCAGCTCCTCTTCAGGAAAGGGGCTTAGAGCTTCTGCTTGCACGCATTTAAAGCCAAAACCCCACCCCTCTGACCATGCGGTCAGGGAGAACAAAGGTCAGCCAAGAAGAAAATGTCCTCCCAAACACAGCTCACCTCCTGCCTCAGCTCCTCTTCAGGAAAAGTCGTTCACTAATAATGGCAGTAATGGAACTTCAGGGTCAACAGCTTTCTCAAATTCAACATCTGGTCTTCTTATAAGCCATTGGAGAGGGTCTCAGAACACCTTGCTTCCACCATTAGAAAAACCTCAAACAAAACAACTGGATATATACCACTCAGTGGCCAGCAAAATGCAGCCAGTTCTGGGTTGAGTTCTGCCAGTAGCTGATGCTTGGGTGCTGTTTTGAACAGAGCTATCTCCAATTCTTCATATTATATGCAGTAACTAGCAAAGGCCTATTTCCTTGGGGAATTGAAGCTCTCTGGTTTATACTTAACATGCTGATTGCCAGAATTACAGGATGGCTGTGCCGGGAGGAGGGTAAAGAATTAGATTCTGCCTCTAATTAGATGTTTGCTCTTCATTTGAATTTCAGATGCCAGCTTTAATTTTAGAAACTTTCTGAGGAAGCAAAGTGACTTTCTCTGGCAAGAGTGCACCTGGCTCCTTCAGGCTTTGTCTGAGGGCTGTCGCAAAGGGAGCACAGAGTGGTACCAGCCATTGTCTCTTCCTGTATGGATCCAAGGGGGCAGACCCACCGTCCGTCAGCTTTCCTGACTTGCCAGACAAATGAAGGAGGTCCTTCTAAAGCTGTCCTGAGGGTATCTGTGCAACATTGGGATTGCAAGAGATCATTTCTGGCTCAACCTCAAATGAGCTAACATATGATCTGCCCATGAAAAGACCTCTCAGAGCAACTACTTGACGCAATGTCTTTTTTAACGGAAGTCAATCTCTGCTAGGGTAATCAAGCAACAGAGGGAATATGAATTTGATTACAAAGACTTGGCAATGAACTCATCATGGTTGTTGTTACATGTCATGAAGTCAACTCCGACTTATGGAGACTTGATGAATACAGTGGATCCTCAACTTACAGACGGCTCAACTTACAGACTTTTCGAGTTACAAACTTCTCTGGCCACAAAATTTAGATTCGACTTGCAGCCAGAGAATCTACCTACAGACCAGAAAAAACCCAAAATGGAACAAAAACAGAACAAAAACGGCCGGTTATGGACTAATCGGTTTTCAGTGCATTGTAGGTCAATGGAGACTTGACGGTTGTTGTTACATGTCATGAAGTCAACTCTGACTTATGGAGACTTGATGAATAAGTGATCTTCAAACTGCCCTGTCTGCAATAGCCCTGCTCAGCTCTTGCCAACTCAAGCCTGTGGTTTCCTTTAGGAAGTCAATCCATCTCATATTTGGTCTGCCTTTTTTTTTTTTTTGCTGCCTCCCACCTTTCCCCGCATTGTTGTCTTTTCCAGAGAATCCTGTCTTCTCATGATATGCCCAAACAGCCTCAGTTTCAACATTTTTGCCTCCAAAGATAATTCAGGTTTGATTTTATCTAGGACCCACTTGTTCATCTTTCTGCCAGTCTCGGGTATTCAGAAAGTTCTCTTCCAGCCCCATATTGCAAACAAATCAATATTTCCCCATCAACTTTCTTTACTGTCCACCTTTCACACCCATACATGGTGACTGGGAATACAAGAGTATGAATAATCTTGGTCTTGGTCTCCAGTGACACATCTTTACATTTGATGATCTGGTCTAATCCCTTCATTGCTGCTCTTCCAAGTCTTCGTCTCCTTCTGATTTCTTGGCTGCAGCCTCCATTTGGACTGATGATAGAACCAAGATAAAAAAATCTTTCACTATTTCAGTTTCTTAACTGTTGACATTTAAACATTTGTAGTTCTTCTGTAGTCATGATTTTTGTCTTCTTAATGTTCAACTGCAATCCTGCTTTGGTACTTTTCCTTTTTTTAACTTTCACTGAAAGTCATTTCGAGTCATTGTTGTATTCTGCCAGTAAGATGGTGTCATCTGCACATCCTAAATTATTGATCCTTCTTCCTTTAATTTTCTCTCCTCTTTCATCTGAATCTAAACTGGCTTTCGGTATAATAAGTTCTGCATACGGATTGAACAGGTAAGGGGACAAAGTGCACCCTTATCTGACATCTTTGCTTATAGGAAACCAATCTGTACTAACAGTGGCTTCTTGTCCACAATACAGGTTACTCATCAGGACAGTAAATTGCTGAGCCCATCCATTTCTTTCACACAGTCAAACAGTTTGCTGTAGTCTATAAAGCACAGACTGTTTTTCCTCTGAAAATTTTTTCAGTAGCTCCAGTAGCTGAGGATATTTGCAATATGATCTTGAGTGCCTTGTCATCATTACATGAGACTAAATATAATCCTGTAGAGAATATCCAGTACTGAAGGGGATAGAAAACTGCTATTTCTAGCTTGTTGTTAGGGGGAGGACACATTTTCACTAGCTCATATATTCATATAACAAAATGCGGTGTTTTGAAAAGGAATCTGCTTGGCTGAATATTTGTTCGATGTGTTTTAGCACTACATTTTAATTTTAGAGTTCTCCAAGGAAATCCTATGCATGTGTACTCAGGAAGAAACCCCCCTGAGTTCAATGACTGCTGGATAGCTCAGTGGCTTAGGTCTCTGGCTGCGGAGCCAAAGGTTGGGGGTTTGGTTCCCCACTGTGCCTCCTTGACAGGGGCTGGACTTGATGATCCATAGGGTCCCTTGCACTTCAAAGTATATTACTAATCAGAGAGACTACACCCAGGTAAGTACATACGGGATTGCAGTGTCAACCTTTGGTGCTCTGGAGCTCTCACTGAAAATAAAAGCCACTCCTTTAGAAAAAAAACAAACTTTATGCTGGATGCACAACTGGAGTGCTAGAACTTCTAAGGCTGTAACTACACATGCTGAAGTAAATTTATAATGACTTGTGTCACTGTGCACCTGACACAAGCACTGACACAGTTTAAAAATAGTGCCCATGCACACTTTTAAAAGCTGGATTGGTGCTTCTCTTGCTGGCTGGCCAGCGCCAGGAGGCTTCCCGGCCACCTCAGCACTGACTGATTTGTGGTGTTGTTTTTGTTGTGTGTGTGGGAGCTCCAGTGGCTCTACTTTTGCCGCATGTCAAAGTGAGCAAAGTGCTGCCCTGGCACGAACACGGTCAGTAGCAGTGGGAAGCAACCCAGCACTGGCTGGGCAGCACCTATTCCATGTTCTGCTACAATGCAGTTTTGCACCTGTTTTCAGATCATCTGCAGTAAAAAGCTTAGTGCTAGTTATCTGATAGGTATAGTTCCTGCATAACTATGGCCATTGTTTCAGAAATAAGCAAACAAAGAAACCAAAAAACCTGGTCACTTCAGCAAGACATACTTCTTTTAGCCCTGTTGTCGCGGCATGTGGCCACTCTTACAACTTACATCTTAAGCGTCCCACTGCCCTTTACCACAAATGTGAATCAATACCTGCTACAAGCTAGCATTGCTATTATATGTTTGCAATAAAGTGACATGAACAAAAGAGCAGAATGGTTTATAATCTATGGTTTGCTTCAGTAGCCATAACAAAATTCAGTTTAATGCCATGCAGTGCTATTTCTCAAGAGATATCCCATGGCTATACATGTCTTGTTATAGTGTTCCTCATTATAAAACTACATTTCTTGTGTGCTTTATTATTCTCACAGGACTTCATGGGAGAGTTCACTGTTTCTTAGCTGAGTGCAGCTAAAAAAAACAACAATGAAAAAGAGTTTAAAACAGCCAAATAAAGCTGCCAAACTTTTCAGGGAAATGTAGCAAATGTACATAAATGTATTCCTCTTTCCACATATATGCACACACATTGCAAAGATATATGAGCTATTTTTCTTACATTTCCTATTATCTGAAAGTGTCCTCTTGCTGGAAAATATTTGTAACAAGTAAAAAAAAAAGAGCTCTGAATTCTCCCAAAAGTAGTAATTATAGCATCCCCCCTCACATTATATAAAGAAACAAACCCCCACCCTGCCCAAAGTGTAACTCTGATGTACATCTAGACGTCTGCAACATGTTGTTCTCTACCTTAGGTCAATCAAATGAGTGTGAAATTTGGAAAATACTGTAGTGACCAAAAAGATGTGCTAGTCTAGACTACAAAAACATGCCACATAAAACGTAACTGATGACAGCTGGAAGGTACTCACATATTCCGTGTCAGCCTTTGAGTCGTAGTATTCAATATTCTCTTCCTGCAAAATGAAGGAGGGAAAACATGATAAGTGCAATGACAAACCATGGGAAGAAATTCTCCCACCCCAACATGATTAATCCAATGTTTATTTTGTAAAAGTCTGCTTCCCCTGTGGAGAGAGGGGTTTCTGGTGAATCCTAGTAAATCAGAGATGAAACCTACAGCAAGAGCATCTGTGTCACTTCCGAGGGATAGGAAAAAATTTGTTTTTATGGATGACAACTCTCCAAATACCCAGTCAGTTTGGTCTGTACTAACTTTCTCTGTCTCTGGCTGAAGCACAGTGTGCTGAGCCTGTACCTGGATTGCACTGAAGGGGTCAAGGAACCAACTGGGGCAGGAAGAGGCGAAAGGAATCCCCACAAAGCCAGCTGTCATATGCCCACATTCCCTTTTTTGCTTCTGACGGCTGGTGACCCTGTATCTTCTTGCGGTGCAGTGATCCAACATTTTACCACGTGCACATGGTCTAGACAGCTCAGGCATGGAAACAATGATAAATTCTTCAATAGCGAAACTAGTTAGAAAAAGACAAGAAATATGGTGATTACACTGATAGTTCTTTCTCCTTTTTCCCCCCTAAGGCGTTTTTCTGCTGGATGATGTCTCGGTCTCCATTCCGTGCACCTTTCACCTGTTTTTCCAGTCCTATTTCTGTTTCATTTGGTTTCCACATTAATCCTTTTTGAAGTTCCTCTTTGCATTTAAATATATACCCTGATAATCTTTACATTGCTGAGAACTGCGCCAAAGTTTCAAAAAATAAAAATGAAAATGAAAAATCTGGTGGATAACAAAATTCAGATTCCCACATTAATCTGAGAGGTGAGGAAAGGGACACCCTGTAGAAGAATTTGCAAGGGTGGAAATCCTCAAGAATCTCAAATGCGTATGATGCACAGCCTGCTTCTCCTACTTAGCAACTAGTGAACACAGAGAGCCACTTGCCAATTGGGAACTAAGCATTGTGTGCATGCTTCCTTTGATAACCTTCCTACGGTCCTGCTAACTGCTGGCTGATGAGGAGAAGTTATTGACCAGGATTTTGCTCAAGAATAAAATGCATAAGGTTTTTTGTTTTTGTTTTCCCTTGCCACTGGATGGCTATTCCAAATGGCTTCCATGGACTCTTTGTGGCTCTCCAGGTTTTACCTAGGAGTCTTTTTCAATTCTAGCTGGAGATGCCAGAAATTGAACATCTAACAAAGTCTTCTGTTAGAAAAACAAACCACAAATATTTTACCCCTAAGGAAAGGGCCAGACTAAGTTATACAGAGGCCCTAAATATGTAACATTTAAAAGCCCCACTTAGCATTTTTCCAAAAAAAAGTATGAATTATTCTAGCACTTTTCTAAAATGTGAAATTTAGTCTCTCTGTCTCTCTGGCCTTGTTTTGTTTTTAGAGATCCTGCTTTGCAAGGATGCAACAGTCAAACTTTGCAGTTGAGTGATGGATCTGGGATGTCCCATTCCACCCTTGAAAGAGAGGCAATGCACCACAAAATAGGCAGCCTGCCTGCATCACCCCTCAGCAGGTGGTTTCACTTGCTCAGTCGCCAGAAAGTCCAGATATGGAGAGAGGCAGCCAAGGGTTACATTCCCAGATGGTTGCTGGTTAGCAGGTTGGTTGCATAGGGAGTCGACAATGCTCCCCCTCCGGACCCTGAAGAATCTCTGAATCCATGACAGCAAGAAGTACATTCTCATTTATTGAAGGGGGATGCATGCTAATGTTGATGTAGATCTGAGATGCTAATAACTCCTTTTCCTACTCAGAACCATTAAACAGTCAGTGAAAAATTAGGCAGTGATTTCCTAATTCCAATGAAGAACTGCATGCTATTAATCTGCAGTACTTAGAAACTATTTACACAGGAAGGTCTATTCCAGTTTCTCTTCTCCTAGGTGAGGACATGCAGCAGCTGATCAAATTCATTAAAGGGCAGGCAATTCAGAGAGCAGTAAGACAGTCAAAAGGGATTGTCATAATCCATCAAAAAGGGTAATTAAAGGGCAGGCAGAGTGGCTTTTCTGCATGCAAAAAGAGGAGCAGGAATGCAGCCTCAACCTGCAAGCACACTCAGCACCACCATGGCTGCTACTCATCATCAGCACAATAAGGTTCTTTAATGGCCCTCACATTCTGAGACGGGGGTAGGGGGGCTGTTCGCATAGAATATGGCTACTCCAGTTAGTGAGGTGAGCATTTTTCTGCAAGTGGAGAGGCTGCAGAGTCACAAAATGGCCTGGACAGAAAATGTTTCCTGCAGGTCCGTCCTCATCCTATGCAGGAAAACGGTATTTATAAAGCCCTGCAAGAACAGTAAACGGCGTGCCCCATTCCACCTAACCTTTCATCTTGAACGTGGAAAGGTCTGGACTGCTTCCAGCTGTCCACGAACTTTGGGGCAGGGTTTACAAGCATGCCTACACTCCTGTGCCAATTTTAGCCCTATACATGAACAGACAAATGCTTGCACTTTCAGGTGTATCCAACATGCAGCAGGTTGAGGATAATGTTCTCACTATCCTGCTTTCAGTGGAATGCCTGCTGAAGTGAACATGCAATGGCACGGTTGATTGAAAGCAATGCCGCAAAGGTTGTTGTCCCCATTGGAACGTCCATGTAGCCGTGCATCCCTACAAACCGTGACATTTTTCATGGTCCATAATGATTATTTGCATTAACAAGAAATGATCTACTCTACAAAGTGCAGTGAAAACAAGATGCTTCCTCTACTGGAAAGGCCTCTCATTTTACTTTCAGCTCATAATCCTGACAGTTATACCCCTGTTGTTGTTACTGTGAGCTCTGCAAGCTCATGGATTGCGAGAAATCACAGTGCAGATGTGAAGACAGCTGGAAGTTGGCAGAATGAGCTGGGCACATCGTTTTTATACTTGGATGCTGCTCTGTTCCAAGAGGATGTATCTACTGGCAGATGGAAGGCTGCAAGGGTTGCCTCCCCCCACCCCCGTATGTCTTTATTGCTATCTGACATAGTTATGGAAGGTCTTTAAAACTGTTAATGTGTAAAACACCCCCTTCTGGAGACAGTCCTCCATATCCAGAGCAACTCCATTAATGTTATTGAATTTGCCTAGAGAACCCAAACAAAATTCCAGTGAATGAACAGATAGCATACGGAAGTGAACAAGTGAATGAATACCACAACTCTAGTGACTTCTAAAGGAATAACAGCAACACTTAGGATTTTTGGAACACTATTTTATTTATTTATTTATTTATTTATTTATTTATTTATTTA